CGGCAATAAAATGGAAATAAGATGGAGCCAGTCTGCTATCAATTTGGAATTGAATATAGTCAAGTTTCAAATTACATACAATCTGTTTGTGATAATACGGTGAATAACTGTGTTAGATCAATGAAAACAAAGTGTTAACTAGAGGTAAAGCTGAACTTCTGAGTGACCAGCTGACTGTTTAATATGAAATAGAAGTAAACCTATCGTGGCATCTTGGGCGAATTGTTTTTTTTTCAATGCTTTAATTATTTAATTAAAAAAAATATGTCATGCATATTTAAAAAAATTTAAATTAGTTAAATAAAAATGGAATTTAAATGCGTCTGTTATCAGAGCAACAAGCAGATGTTATAATTTATAGGTAATTATTCCATAATAAAATCCACATTTTAGCTTTTAGCTTTAACCTTTGCAAACACATCAAATGTTTAAAATGCTACAGCTCTGCAAGCATTATTTTTGTTCACTGCATTTGAAATAAAGCTGGCTGCAAATTGCTACCATCACAAAAGAAAGCACGCAGCAAAAGTGACAGCATGACTGCTGTGTGGCTGCCATGACAACAGTTTATCTAGTTCAGTGTCAAAACGATGCTAGCATACTGTAACTCTTCTGTTCAGAAAAATGTATAAAAACCATAAATCGTGACATTGGAGCATCTTAGAAACTTGGTCATACATAAAGGAAACGCTAACTATGACAAACACAAACATACCTGTTAAAAAAAGAATTCTTTTATAGAAATAAAAAGGCGACTTCTGGTGTCACAAGCGTTTATACATCACAGATAACTCTAACTGATCACCTTTTACAAGCTTTACAAACACCATGAACACAAGCAGTGAGCACACAGAACGACACAGTACAGCAGACCAACAGTAAACACGACTCGAAACAGCCAGAAACAAACACACAGATGTTTTTTAGTGGTGACAAATGATCAGACAGGTGGAGGGGGAGGTGCAGTGCATGGGTCAAAGGTCAACCTCCCAGAGCTCTGATCTGCCCTACCTTTTCTGACGCAGATCAGCTCATGTACTCCACAGTTACGCTCGCCACCTGGAAAGACAATGCAGTTTCAATGAGCCACGCCGCGATGGAGGGAACACAAGACAAAAACATCACAGTCGCACATTTAAATATGTTCAGACGCAGTCAGACACACTTCCACAGAAGGACAGGAATAACACGGATAGAAGACACGGACAGAGACTGGATGGTGATGACTGGATGTGGACGATTAACACAGAAACATCCTTCTTGCATTTATTAAAGTTTTATTGCACAATTATGCACAATAACTGGTTATGTGAGCTTCAGCTCAACTTCACTACCTTTTAAATTAGGCTTCATTCAGTCAGACTGTCATTGAAAAGTACATTACTAAAAACAATGAAAGTTTGCCATCTAATCCAAAGTGCAAACAGTGTGCGTATGTATATACAAAATATACACACAACATATATACACATACACTTGTAGCAGGGTCATTTACACTGATACACGAGCAGCCTTTAGAGTAATTACAACATGTACATGGATTTGCAGTATTTACATTATTATTATTTTTGTACGCAATGTGCATGGTTTGTGTTTCTTATGTGCATACCACAAGTGTGTGGTGTGCATACATGTGTGGAGCTCACAGCACATTGCCCAGAGTTGAATCATCTACTTTATCTGCACAGTCTCACTCTGAACAAGCAAAGCGCAGGAAAATAACACAAGAACTGAAAAGAAATGAGTAAATATATAACAACTGTTCAAAACTAGAAGAAGGGTTAGCACGAATCCTTAAAGTGGACAAACTATACCAGCCCAGCTCTATCTTTAACCCTTTAAGACCTACCATAGAACCAAGTCCGTCAGAGCTTATATTATATTTTTACATGCTGTGGAGCCATTTTTGGGAGCATTTCAAGTTGCTATACATCAATACAACCATTATAATCCACATTTTAATAATATGTCTGCATTAAGTGCATAGTAATTACATAAATTGCAAAAAAGTGCAATAAACTACAAAAAAATTTAAAATCGTTTTTGTTTTTTTAACATATATTTCTAGTTAGAGAAATTTAAGAGGCTTATCCCTCAAAACTGTAAATACAAAAAAGTTGCACAAAATAGTTTCCCACCACAGGAAACTTATTTTGAGTGTCTTCATAGTTTTATTTTTGAAATACAACAATTTTTATACACTGCAGGAAAAACGAAAATAAATATTATAATGCAAATTTGCATCAAAATAAACTATTTCCAGCAGTGCAATTTGAGTTTTAAGCATCCCAGAAATGACACAGAAAGTCATAAAGTAAAAGATAACTTTTAAAAAACACCAGTCTAGACTCATGAGGCCCTGATGGTAAAAAACTATATTTCCGCGAAAATGACGTCACTTCCGGTTTCGGGTAGGTCATGGCGGACATGCAAAATTTCGCGCTGACGTCTATTCCAACGTAGGAAGTGTTATCAACAGCTGATCGGATCGGCAAAGCGTGTTTCTGGAATATTATGTTTTTATTGCTGCAAGCGCTTTTTATGCGTTTATGCCAACATCCGTTATTTCCAACACGAGTTTTCCGAGATGTAACATGATTTTGATTTTTATTTTTTGGGTACGATTGCACCTTTAGTGAAGAGTTTAAGAGAAAAAATACCAGTTTAAATACCTGTGCTGAGGGGTCACAGTGGAAGGGACAGTGCTTAAAATTTTGAAAACACCAATTGCAGAATAAACTTGGTTTGATTTCATGACTGCATTAGCATTTTTCTTACATTTCAGCCATAATATCAATTATTTATTCCTTTATGTATTTCAGTCGCTAAAAAATCAATCATCATCACTCATCATTACGTCCTTACTTATACAAACTTTAACATACTAACTGAATATTAAAACAACATTAGAAATGTGCAGTGGTTTAAGATGTTCACTTACAACAAAACTCTAAAGACTTTTCTTTTAGGGAGCATTAAACCTGTAAGGAATCACCTTCAAAGAGTATACATGCAGTCAGTCTGCAGCCCCTCTGACATTTAAAAAGCCCACAACATAAGATTGTAAAATATTTAACTGTGTATCTTTGTGCAAAACAAAAGCTCAACATTTTAAAACATCCTTAAATCCATCTGACTGCAGCTCGCTGGCTCACTAAACATGGATTGAAAATGGATCTGACTGCACAAAGCACCACTGATCCTTATCCATGAGAAAAAAACTGGAAGCACAGGGTGTCTTTTAATCCCTCTGCATATCCTGGAATAAACCACACACTCGTGTATCACAGTTTGATTGTTGCATAAACAATACAGTATCTCATGCTGTTATTCAATCATAATAAAAATGGGAACAACCAAACAAATAGTTAAGGGAGTTTGATCTGAAAGTCTGGCATCAGAATACAGTTCAGCCGCTGACGTTCTGCTTCCGTGGAGCTCAGCTCAGCAGTGGGCACCCACCTAAGCTTCAGTATATCATGAGGTAGACACCCAGTCACCGTTTTTCAAACTCTTTACAGCAGCTTTCTGCCGCAGACGGCCTTTCAGACGGTGACTGTAATTCAGAACTATTACTCACACTTGTGAGGGCCTCCCGGTCTCTGAGCTCAACGGCTGCCTCTGGGATCTGCCTACAGGTTGAGCAGCTCTGGCTGAATTTAGACAGTGTAGTGGTTTGTACAGGGCTGAACAAAGGCAACAAAAGGCTGAAAGCACTGAAACAAAAGGCTTCACAGCAGTGTAAAGCCAAAGAATCTAGACCTTTACTTCAGAGCATTACTTGTACCAAGCTAACAACGAAACAGTGGAAAGTCCAGGTCGGTTTGTCAGTGAAAAAAAGAAAGAAAAAGATGTGAAACAAATGAGAAGAAAGGCTACTTTAAAATGGGATGCCAAAATTATAAAATATAAGTGTACAAAAGTAAAAGGTTTTTTTCTTTTGTACAAACCACAGAAAATA